TCGTTTTCAAAACATTTTCTTTCTACTTGCGCCCAGCTCATTTTTGTCCCTCCTTTCCCCCCTCCATCCCTCATGAACCCTTGATATTTCTTTTTTCATGACTTACACTGACTCTTTCATGACTCTTCAGCCACTTTTCTGTTGTTTGTCCTCCTGGGCTATGTGTTATATGTTGATTATTGTGATGGGTTCCCACTTTCTCCCCTCACCTTCCCCTTCCCCTCCTGGTATCGCTACTCCCATTGTTGGTCCTGATGTGTTTACCTGTCCTGGATTCCCTGTGTTTCCAACTCTTATCTGTACCCGTGTATATGTTCCGGTCTAGCCGGACTTGTAAGGCAGAATTGGGGTCATGATAGTGGGTGGGGGGGAGCATTAAAGAACTAGAGGAGAGTTGTATGTTTCATTGATGCTATACTGCACCCTGACTGGCTCATCTCTTGTGATCCTTCTGTGAGGGGATGTCCAATTGTCTACAGATGAGGTTTGGGTCTCCACTCTACACTCCCCTTCATTCACATCAATATGATTTTTTGTTCTGGGTCTTTGATGCCGGATACCTGATCCCATTGACACCTCATGATCACACAGGCTGGTATGCTTCTTCCATGTGGGCTTTGTTGCTTCTCAGTGAGATGGCTGCTTGTTTATCTTCAAACTTTTAAGACTCCAGACACTATAATTTTTGATAGCTGGGCACCATCAGCTTCTTTCACCACATTTGCTTATGCCCCCGTTTTTGTCTTCTGTGATTGTGTTGGGAAGGTGAGCATCACAGAATGCTGGGTTATTAGAACAAAGTGTTCTTGCATTGAGGGAGTACTTGAGTGGAGGCCCAATGTCCATCTGCTACCTTAATACTTAACTATAAATGTATGTATATAGATCTATTTCCCTATCATTATATATAAATATATTTACATACATACATGCCTGTATTTAGACCTCTATAAATGTCCTTTTGAGGAGTAATCTACAGTGCATTCTGTCAGAAAGCAAAACTATTCATATCCCTAGTCAATGTTCAGAGGGAATTCAAAAGAGGCTTAACCCATGTGGGGACTCTGCAAACGGATTTTTGGCTTTCACTGTCATTCACTGCCTTCTGCAAACTGGGTACTCAGAATTTAAGTGCTAATATAATTCCATCCTCTGATCATAGATTTTATTAACAATCCTTAAACCACATAGGCTGGTGTTCCTTCTGTGTGGACTGAGCTTCATACCTTACTTACATGGCTTCTGGTTTTAAGATTGGCCATTTAGGCTCCACATGCTGATTTCACCATACTTTTCTATAGCATGCATGTCTTCAGCGATCATTTCATTAAGACAAGTATTAAGCAGTGCCACATCCTAAGAACTAGTTTTTCTTGGCTTAGGGCTATGATTAAGTGCAAGCTCAAAGTCCACTCATGTATTTAAGGTTTATTTATGTCCTTCGTCCACTATACGGGCAGCATTACCAGCTTCATGAGAAATAATATAATTACCATGGGACATTTGGTAATTCTGATAATAATATCATTAATTTAGCCAAGGGTATTGAATTTAAAATAGAAAATGAAATCTATCTATATGAAAGCTTTTTTAAGACTAAAATACACAGCATAAATGTTCATTTATACAAATTAAAATGTGACTGAATACGACTAAGAAAATGAGGGTTTGACACAAGACAAAAATATCAACAATGCTCATTCACTAGGGCAAAATTATGTGACAAAAAGTGAAGAAAACATGAAAACAGCAAATGTTTGTTGGTCTTAAGTTGCCTGCAACTTCAAAAGCAACAAATGTGAACCTAAGTCCAATGACTTCAAAGTCTACAACCCTCAGATGGCAGCCATCTGCTTCTTTACAGCCTATTTCAGCTTTAAGTCCAAAGGAGTATTTCAGTCCCTTTCATCAGCAACAGGTGTGTTTAAAGCAAAGTCCAGTTCACTTAGTAGGATTTCCAAATCAGATCTTTCTGATGTGACCTATGAAGAATGCCATACTCTTTGAAAAACCAAAATCTAAAATTCAGGTAGGCTGTAGAATAAGGCAAGCAGCCCCATGCATCCGGCTGCAAACCATAACACCAGCAGTTTGAAACCAACCGTCGCTCCAAAGGAGAAAGACAGGGCTTTCTGCTCCTGTAAACAGTTACAGTCTTCAAAATTCCCAGGGGCTGTTCCACCCTGTCCTATAGGGTTGCTATGAGTTGGCAAGGACTCAATGGCAGTGAGTTTGGAGTTTGGGGAGGAGTTGGGGTGGGGGTACGCCAAGGGCAGAAAAGAAATTTGGTTAAAAAATATGATTAGCAACACAATATAGGGCCAAATCTCTCCCTGAGGGTGTGTTGGGGAGAGAGCCTACATAAGTAATAAGTGTTCTCCCCAAGGGCAGGCTGCCCCGCCTTGGTTTAGCCACTGTGGGAGTGACATAATGCCAGGTCAACTTGAAGTGTAGGGTGGAGTCTAGCCTGTCACAGCCTGATGGTGCCTCCTTGTTGGCATGACCCCCTCTTAAGGAAGCTCCTGCCAGACACTGCCATTGGATCCATACAACTGCACCCACCGGCCTGTGAACTTCCTGCATTCTGCCTCATTGCCTGTGGTTGCGTGAGTCTGAAGAGGGATTTATGGACTAGCATTGGACTTACGAACTTGTTCTGGACTGGCCTGGGATGTTTGCTTGATATAAAGCGCTCTACACATATGAATGTCACTGGATTTGTTTCTCAGGTCAACATGACCAAACACATCCATCCACCACATGGTTTCTTCTTGAGGTGATAAAAACGTTCTGATCTTGGTGATAGTTGCATCTATCTGTGAATATACTAAAATGCTCTGATTTTACACTGGAGTGAATTGTATGGTATCTGAATGATATCTCCATAAAGCTATCTCCTTAGCTTGCTCCCACCCTCTCACTTTTCCCAGGCAGTATCTCAACAATTTCACACAATCAAATGCTGGGGCAGCTTTTTTGATACTTGTCTTTAAAAACAGGTGACTATATGTATCATATAAAAGTGTGGAAGGCTAAGCTCTAAATCCAGTACACATTGCTGGGGAATGGAACTGATTATTTTCTAAGCTTTTCTACAATTACTAGTTAAGTTTTGGGTTTTTTGTTTTGTTTTTAATCATTTTATTAGTGGCTTGTACAACTCTAATCACAATCCATACATACATCCATTGTGTCAACCACATTTTTACATTTGTTGCCATCATCATTCTCAAAACATTTCCTTTCAAGAAAAACCAAACATTTGCTTACTACTTGAGCCCTTGGTATCAGCTCATTTCCCCGCCCCCCTCCCTCCCCCATGAACCCTTGATAATTTATAAATTATTATTTTGTCATATCTTACACTATCCAATGTCTCCCTTCACCCAAGCTTTGGTTTTTAATTAAGTGAGCAAGTATTACTTTTGAAAGAGTTAAAAAAAAGAATTTAAAGATTATATGTGAGTTAAGGAAAAAGTATCAGATTTCCCGGCCTACCGCTCATGCCCCCAGCCCCCTGCCAATGTTGTATAGCTTTTGAACTCTGGTGGCTATGCATGTTAGATTCATGGTGCAAACCATTTCTAGAATGCATACAACCAGGGTGTGTACATCCCTATTTCCCATTAGGCCATACTCCTGGGCCATACCTGGTTCCTCGGCCACTGTATTGTTAGTGCTGGAACACCTGGCACAATAATAGCATTTTACACACAAGTAGCAACCAAGTAAAAGAATGTACATTTTCTTCTCTTTGTATTAATCACATTACAAAGTTGAATACATGTTGAGGTCAGGTGGTAGAAAAGTCACATCCAGGGAATCCCACAACTTGCCAAAGGTGGCCTTGACTTTGAATTCTTGCCAATAACGGGAGGGGGACATAGTGAGTGAGCTACCTGAACCTAGAGAGTGACCTACAGGCTTTCAATGACTTTCCAGTTTATTTTCTGATAAGGAAAAATGTTTTCAAGAACTAGCATGCTCAGTGAACACAGGAATGCTAGAAAAATAAGCAATAAAGGGCATACACAAACAACAGGTCACTGGAATTTTAATACACTTAAGTATTGACATAGAAAAGGTTTGAAATCAGCATTCAACACATTAGATTTCATATTAATATTTGCACTTTTAGTAAAATAAAGTTCTGCAAAGTTAAATTTTCTTAACGTTTCTTTTCACTGTTGGTCTAGCTGCTCAAAGTTTACAAAATGGTAGCAATTATTTTTTTAAGCAGTGGCACTTTCCCTAAGTGAAATGTTATGACAGGATGCCCAATATAAACAAAAAGTTAAGCTTTCCAAGTGTCCCCTCTTATCAAAATTCTTAGGGTCCTGAGCAGTCTGAGAACCGTGGAATTAAAATAATAGCAATAAACACGGAAAAAAAGATTTCATTGATAAAGAAAACTGGGAAGTTCACTCAATAACACAGTTTCTAAGCTTCGCAGCATGGCCTTCAGTGTTACCTCTGAGCAGTTGTTGCTGTCAGATGCTGTCCAGCCCACTTCCACGCCGACTCCCTTCCCCGAGTCAGTTCCGACTCAGAGTCACTCTATGGGACGGACGCTAACTTTTTTTTTAAAGGAATTTTCCATCTGACTTTATTTTCAAATACACTTTCTTACTGTGACTCTTTAAAAAACCTCATCTCTCTCCCTCAGAGCGGTTGGTGCTGGCAGTTTCGAACCACTGGCATTGGGGTTAACACTTCAATGCTTAACTGCTATGCCACCAAAGCTCCTTTCAACTCATAGCAACCTCACGTTCACCACAATCTTTCCTATGTTTGAGCCATGGTTGCAGCCACTGTGTCACTCCAGCTATTGAAGGTATTCATCTTTTCCACCACGCCTCTACTTTACCAAGCATGATGTCATTCTCCAGGGTCTGGTGTCTCCTAGAACATGTCCAAAGTCCATGAGATGAGTGTTTCTTGCTTCTAAGAATGTTCTAGTTGCACTACTTCCAAGACAGGTTTCTTCATTCTTCTGGCAGTCTAATGCACATTCGATATTCTTTGCCAACACCATAATTTAAAGGCATCAATTATTCTTCAGTCTTCCTGATTAATTGTGCAGGCTTTGCAGATATAAGAGGTGATGAAAAATACCAGGCTTGGGTGCGGTGCACCAGAGTCCTCAGAGTGTTCCACTGTCTGAACGGCAGCTCAAGTCGGCAGTCTGTGGAGCTCTATACTTGGAAAATGTTGCACAAAAACGTAACTGTTTTATGGGATGCAATGATTCTTAACATTTTGGTAGGCAGTCTGTTCATATTGATTTAAAAAAAAGTCTATCATAAATAAAGTCCTAAAGCCACGACAATTCTTGGTAAGATGAAGCATCCCAATAAATCCAAGGAAGATCCCCAGTAAACAGAGCATCATTATTTGGCCTTTGGAAAATTGTCCAGAGATGGGAAAGGCCTATTAAATTCACACATCCTTGTGTAGACATGTGCAGGTTAGGCTGGGCCGCGTGGGAGTTGAGTGCACAGTGGTGCGTGCACAGTGAAAGCGACGACATGCAGGGAGGGTACAGGGAAGGTGTACTGGACCCCGCGGGCGCAGAGCCACAGGGCAGCACAGGAAATATCATCAGGATACGCACATGCCTTTGGTGGTTACGCTGGCTGAATCAGCTCATTAAGGACCTGTTCTTGAGACTCACTATTGCAGTTGACTCACTTCAGGAGCATTTCTGTAGATTTCACGGAAATCAAGACCTGGTGGCACAGTGGTCAAGCACCGGCCTGGCTGCTAGTAGTTTGAACCCACTGGCAACTCCAATTCCTTGGGAGGACGGGCCTGGTGATACGCTCCCGCACGGATTCCGGTCTAGGAAACTCTACTGGGCAGTTCGTTCTACTTGGTCTCACGGGGTCACTAAGAGTCAGAATTGATTTGATGACACATCACAACAACAACAAAATAGTTCCAGGGGGCCAGGCTCTGTTCTAAGTGCTTTGTCAATATGAACTCGCTCATTTCCTCCTCATTATCAGCCCTATGAGGTAGGTACAAATGTTAGCCCCGATTCAGAGAGAAGGAAACAGGATCAGAGTTCTTAAGTAGCTTGCCCAAGATCACAAAGTTTATAAATAGTGATCTTAGAGTCAATTATGCATGAAGGGAGGGAAATCAAAGGACACCTTAGGCTGGGAAGAGGCGTCTGTCCTAGAACATCCCAGGCATCTGGCTGAGTGAACTAGGAGGCGGCAGCACCAGAGCCCACAGAACGTTTGCTCATCACATCCCAGGAGAGGGCCTCTACCTGCACTTCAATGACAGACAACACATTCTAAGAAGATAAACGTGAAACTACACAGGCACAGGAATCTCCCCATTGTTAGTAAGGGCCGATGTACATTTGAACTTGCTTTGAAATGTTTGAGCGAAAGGCACACTGGTTAACACGGAATGCCGATTCCACCAGCCTGAAGCTGACTTAGGAAGGAACTGCTTCTGTATCACAGAGACGAACGTAGAACAGACGGCGAATAAATATTCAATTTGCCATTTTAAAAAGGTGGTCTCAAATAAGACTTAAGAAGAATAACCTTGAATGTCCCAATTCATTACTTTATCATATTCTTGAATTCTTTGCTTTATGTGAGAAAGTTTACTCTTCAGGTAATCACAGCGTTCCTTTTTTTCCAGGAAAGTAGGATTCTGTGAAGGAAAACAGTCATTATCAGCCTCTGACTTCCTCGGGGAGTCAGAAATTGTCACTCAGAAGGTGAGCTTTCCTAGTAGTTTATGTGCAACAGATTTAAAAATCTGCCTAGTAACAGTTGAACTCTCTTTAAAAAAAGTTATTGATATTATAATTCACAGACCATACCTTTCAATGGATTAAACCTAGTTATTATTATCAACTCTCTATTTCCCCCAACCTCCCCTGACAGGACCCTAAGAAACTATCCATCTAGTTAGTTTCTGTAGATTTACCTAGCCTGGGTTTCATGTAAAGAAAATCAGGCAAACAAAGGCCCAACAACAAGACAAAACAAAACAAAACACACAGACCTCCAATTCAAAAGAAAGTTGAAAACCATAAAACTAGAACAAATTAAAAATGGGTCAAAGGAGAACAAATGATAAGGTGTTAAAATGTTAGCCTGACTATTCTGTATTGATTCACTTTCTCCTGCACTCTGATAAAGAGGCTGTTCACATCCGTGGACAATGGTCAGAGGAGAGTCACTGCAGACTTAATCCGCATGGGGACCTTGCAAATGGATTTGGGGCTTTTACTGTCATCCATATCCTTCTGCAAATAGAGGGTGCAGAATTTAAGCTTTAATACAAAATCCCTCTTTCAGTCTTGGATTTTATTATTATAATCATCAGATCACACAGGCTGGTGCTTCTTCTGTATGGACTTAGTTGACATGTCTTTCAGATGGCTGAATGTTTAAGACAGTCTATAAGGGCCAGATACTATTCTTTCTGATAGCTGGGAATCACCTGCATTATTTACCATACTTTGCAATAGCACCCATATCTTCGGACATCTCTTCATAAGGGCAAATAAACTCCCTGCAATTTTTGAGGTACCGTTAGCAATTTGAAACACATTAAAAAATAATAATAGTAACAATAAGTAACCAAAACTCAAACCCCTACTTGTCTGTCAGTTTGTCATATTGTGGTGCTTGATGTTGGAAGCTATGTCGACGGTCACCTAGAGGGAACAGGCTTCTGTAGACCTTCCAGAGTAAGAACTGACTATGAAGAAGGAGCAGCCTATCCACGTCAGAGGCATCAGTCACTGACAACTTTATGGACAGCACCGAAACACTGACAGATCCTAGACAAGGACGGTGCAGGGCCAGGCAGTGCTTTACTCTGTTGTCCAGAGGATCGCTGAGTTGGAAGTGACCCCGAACAGCAGCAACAAAACCAAATTCACTGCCATTGAGTCAATTCTAACTCACAGCGACCTACAGAACAGGTAGGACTGCCCCTGTGGGTTTCTAAAACTGTAATGCTTTATGGGAGTAAAAAGCCTCATCTTTCTTCCAGAGAGGCTGATGGTTTTGAACTGGTGACCTTGTAGTTAGCACCTCAACTTGTAAACTCAAAACACTACAATGACCATCTCTCTTTCTCCCTCCACCCCTCTCTCATATAGATAAAACCTCTTTCGCTCATTCAGACTGAGATCAAATAGAGGGTGATGTTAGGAAAACACAACTACAACTCTTTGAAGGGAGTGGGAGCGGGGGTTTTGTATCGATGCTCACTCCCCTGGTTGATAAACCAGGACAGACCAAAAGTAGCGGCATCTAGCACTCAAGCACTCATTTCCTGTAACATGCAGCGCTGCAGGAAATACAGAAAGATATGACAAAATAACAATTTATAAA